TTGCAACACTTGGGCCCAGATTACATCTCCTTTTTGCATCTTGTATTCAAACAACAGGTGTCTGCAGAATCAAGCTCTTCTATGAACTCCAATACACCATTGGTGAGAATTACTACCCGTCTTTCTTCCAATGCTGACGCTCCCATGTTGGCTGGAGTTTCTGAATATGAACTACCAGAAGATCCAAAATGGGAATACCCAAGAGATAAGTAAGTAATTATGAAAGAAAATGATCCTTCAATCTTTCAGTTCTCATATCCCTCATCCAGAAGAATTATTTGCATTTACTAATGCTATAGCATAATAAACTGGGCATGGTATACAGGAATTTCTCCCCTTTTTCTGTTGTATATTATAAATGAATCAATTTGATTGATTTGTATATTTGTATATTATAAATGAATCAATTTGATTGATAAATTATCAATCTTTCAGTTCTCATATCCCTCATCCAGAAGAATTATTTGCATTTACTAATGCTATAGCATAATAAACTAGTCATGGTATACAGGAATTTCTCCCCTTTTTCTGTTGTATATTATAAATGAAGGAAGCGTGGTCCTAACCTCAAACCAAACCCTGGTTGGCCCTCATTCTTAACCAAAGTTAAACCTTTTAGATGCATGTAATCCAGTTTTTAAAATCCACCTCACTTTTTTCCCCCGCAAACTTCAAACAACTTGTTTTTAAAATTTATCCCCGAACAGTTTGCTTTTTGGCATTTAATGTATATTTATGGAAATACTCATAATTAGGTGAATGAAAGCTAGTGCCATACATTTCACTTGCCACCTGCAAGCTTCTAGTCAACAGTGGGAGTTGTATGCATAACTCTGTCAGCTTTCCCTGAGGGGAAACATTAATGCGGAAAATCTTAACGCATTAAACACTTAAAACAGCATTCGGCATAAATGCGGGTGGACCAGATTTGTAATGAAAGAAGCTCTTTAAACCGAGGTTTATTAGATTGGGGGTCTGTAGGCTCACAAAGACAATATTGTTTAAACTCCTATAAGAAGCACAAGAACACATAAATTAGTCATTTTCCAATGCAAATGTTTGCTTTCTGCCAAGATCTTAAATTCAATTTTAGTTTCTGTACGAGCACAGCATGATCTCAGCTAAGCATACAACCCGTTAGTCTTTGTCTATTGTTGAAGTAGCAGACATAACAGATATATTAAAGCGTTCATTAATATTAACATAATTAAATTAAAAGCTTTTCCAGTTAAAACTTTCTTTTTAAAGAACATTTACCTTAATTGTGTTGTTGTTTTTTGCCATGGACATTTAATTTTATATGAAAGAAAACATTGTACATTTACACCGATTGGAAAACATATACCAACAGTAGGTATTATTGTTCGTTCCACAAGAATACATAAAAAAACGTTGCAAGCTTTGAATAGCCATTTGATCTCTTGACATTTCATAACCCATAGTTATATTCCTGAGTTTGGGACAAAATGTTTTGTGCTTTTAAGATACAGAATCAGTGACGTTTTTCAGAATTCAAGCAAGCTATAAAATCCTGTTTTTGGTACTTCCAAGTGTATGAGAAAGTGTTGCCAACAAGTATTAATTACACACAGAATCCGTACTTCAAAAGCTGAATGGAGGAACGTGCCCAAACGTCGGGATGTATTTTAATACCCTTGTTAGTTCTTTGTAAGAAATGTCCGAGTCAAAACGATTTGCTGAAAGGATCTTTTGTGTTTCACTCTTGTATTTCGCCGATTTCAACTGTACATCAGATGCTTTATGCTAATCCTTGATTTACATCCCAGGTTGACGCTAGGGAAGCCTCTTGGGGAAGGATGCTTTGGGCAGGTTGTCATGGCAGAAGCAATGGGCATCGACAAAGACAGGCCAAAAGAAGCGGTTTCTGTTGCAGTGAAAATGTTGAAAGGTAAAAGAATCAAGTGACAAGTTCTGCAAATCATATTTCTTTTCGTGGTCTCTGAAGTCTTAAATTGTAGAAGCCCCAAATTCATTTAGTTCACTGTGGGCTTCAGCAGTTTTCCTAGTAAATCAATATATTCGGCAATGTATTTAATTTTAGTAGTGGCTATTTACAAAGAGCAGTGGTGGGTTTCAAAAATTGTTCGAACCTACTCTGTGNGACCCGGATTGTTGGGGGCAATATGCTGACTCTGTAAACCGCTTAGAGAGGGCTGAAAGCCCTATGAAGCGGTATGTAAGTCTAACTGCTATTGCAATTGCTAACTGCTATTGCTAAAACATGGTATTATGATTAAACTATTTCTCATTTACATGGCCATCATTTTGCCATAATATGAAATAAAAAAAATAACATAATATTTTAATTGAAAGTGTTATTTCTCTAGATGCATGAAGCCTACTTTTAAATTTTAAAGTTTCTGCAAAAGAATTTTGACACCTTTTAAATTAACCAGACCTTCTTGTATATTCACCTATTGTTTCAACTGCTTTGAAACTCATAGAATTTGGTACTCAATGTATTTTGATGCAAAAAAAAAAATTGTCCTGATACTCATCGTTTGTTTGTACTCAATGCACAAACTACAACTTGTCGATGTTGGCTGCCCTGTGACTCACTACTTTATTCCTTGTGGGAAAATTTTCTTTGGTACTCATCATTTTTGGTACTCATTGTACCTCCTCCTTATTGGAACCAATAATGACAAGTAATGACGTATACTGTATCTTTATACTCATATTTGTGTATATAAAAAAACACATGAAAAATTGAATGTCTTGCTGTTGGCTAAACAAAACTTTCACTTTCAGCCTTCTTAAAGATAGTGATCTGAATCCTGGATAAAAGGAAATCATTGGAATGGACCCAAACTAAAACATCTAGATGACCTGACTTAGATAACAGAGAAAATATTATTGGTATAGAGCACCAAGCATCAATCAATAGTTAGGCCATGGTTCACCATAAGCTTAGTCTTTCCTCAATGCCAGTTATCCTATTGATTTGCTTTTGGAATGCTTTACTTTGGTCACCTCTCACAGATTTGCACATGGAAGTCCACGCAGCAGATCTAATAGTTTGTGTTGCAATTTTACCAAAATAATTGGTGACTAATTTCCCAGGTTTCTTGTTTTTTTATTTATACAAGAAAATAACTCCTGTGATTTTCTGGTGTATCTACTTGGAACCTTTGCGGCACTTTAATACATTGCTCTATTCTTTTTTGTGATGTGGAATTGGCAATAACATAATGATGGAAACTTAACATTATTCCCATAATGGCAATTGAATGGTAATTCAAGAACGTAAGTCAAAGAAATTATAATTTGTAGACACAAAGGTAATATACATACAGCAATACACATAAAACACACACACAGAGACACACACACAAAGTACACACACAGGTTTCTTCTAGTCCTAAAAGTTACTGCATAATTATATTTAAGGTTAATTTTTTCTACTTTTTCCTTTAAATGCAAAGAAGTTGGGAAAAAGAAATCCAAATATATTTGGTTTACATTCATGTGTTACTGAATGACATGATTAAGGCTTTATTGCTTCTATCCATAGAATACCCTTTTAAGCTTCTGAAATTTGATGAAAAAAATCTTGAAGTGATTTAATAACAATATTTTTATAGTAGCACAGCTAAATAGAAACAGTTAAATGCAGTATGGTTTCTTCATAGCATTAGGAGAAACAATCATACATTAACTTAGTAGTCAATTGGTTTAGATGACATTTGGAGTCCTGGTGATACAGCAATTAGATTTCCACTTTTTAGACATAGTTTTTCTGTGAGAAATCATTCATACTGGACAAATTAGGGCTTAAGTGAAATAGTTCCATATATAGGAAATTGCTTCTAACATTCCAGGTTTCCCAAGCTAAGTTATCAAAATTAATATACCAAGTGCTGCTTGTGATATAGGCTTCAGAGATTTTATTTTGCTGCATATATGCTGCAATAAATTGATCCAGGTCAATAAGATTTCCTAGGGGAACTTCCAATGAATGCATGAAAACTTTTTTTTCCAGTTTTCTTTATCACTTCGACAAATTTCCCCAATAAAATTAAACCAGGGGAAAAGGAATGCTGATGATTTTCCTCCATTAATAATAATTCAAACATTATACTTGCTAATTCTGCCAAATCTCAAGTGATTAGGAAACCTACAAGTCTAAATTAATTTGCTAATAACCACTCTATCAAGTAAAGTACAGCACAAACTGCACGTAATAAACTTCACCAGATTTTTGTTATAGAAAATGGTCTTTACTATTTTTTTTTATTAAGGTTATATCACTTGTTCTAAACACTGTTTCAAACCAAAAAGAATGTATCATACCATTGGATCAGATTTTTGTTTTTTACATTCACCAGTTGGAGTGGTTAAAGTTAAAAGTTAAAATTTCAAAAAATGAAAGTTAATGGCATTTTTAAAGGAAATGTACTGTAGCTATGTGCAGAATGTATTGATACATAATATATAAAGAACAGAAAAATAGAAAGAAGTCCTTTTCTAAACAAAATGCTCTAACTGAATAAAGAATAGTCTGTCTAAACATGAATACATTTTTCCTTCTGAAAGCCAAGCACGAACTAGACTCAAATGGCTTTCTTGTACCTGAAACCAACCTATTCAATTGTTTTACATAGAAATAAGCATTAATTGTCCTTTATCTTCTGTAATAGTTTTACTCCATAACTAATCAAAGGATGTATTTATCTTTGAGATTCACTTGTTTGTTTTATATCTATCTGCCTATTTGTCTGTCTATCTTTCTGCCTGTCCGTCTATTATCTATTTGCCTTTCCATCTATCTAGCTTTATGTCTGCCTGCCTGCCTGCCTGCCATCCCTCCCTCCATGCCTCCATCCATCCAGCCTTCCATCCCTCCANGGAAGGATGGAAGGCTGAGTCAACCTTGAGCCAGTGAGATTAGAACCGCTGAACTGCAGATAACAGTCAGCTGAAGTGGCCTGCAGTACTGCACCATAACCACTGCGCCACCTCGGCTCAATACTTATGTGAAATACTAAACTGTACAAGTAGTATGGAGAGTTGCATAAAGATTCTCTTTTTAATGAAGAGAGAGAAAAAGAGATGCAGGAGAATAGTATTGCTTTGCTTTGCTTTTAGATTCATTTTCTAATATCTTAATCTACTTTCTGTTGGAAGAAAATGTAACATTTCCCCCCAATTTTTCAATGACATTTGAATCCTAATGATCAATGCATATCTTTCATTATTGTATATCATGATGTAGATCAGGGGTGTCAAACTGGCATCCCTTGGGCCAGATACATCATGTGCAGGCCATGCTCACTCCAGCTCAACATGAGGCCGCAGGTTTGACACCCGTGCTCTAGATAAGGGGTGTCAAACTCGATTTCATTGAGGGCTGTATCAGGTTTGTGTTTGACCTCAGGGCCCCCGATGGGCATGACCATGGTGAAACATGACCAGCTCAACGTCACTTGTGTCAGAATCCCTTGTGGTGGCCTGAGCACTCGCAGCCCTCCAGAGCTCTGTTTTCGCTGGCAGACGGTTGCAAGAGATCTCGGGAAAACAGATCTGCAAAACAGATCTCGGGAGGGGCGCACACAGCTCTGTTTTTGCTGGCAGATGCACTGCGGGCCAGTCCTTCACTTCCAGGGCAGCCCTGTGGGCCAGATCTAAGGACCCTGTGGGCCGGATCTGGCCCCCGGGCCTTGAGTTTGACACCTCTGCTCTAGATAATATTATGTTGAAGCACCAAAAAATATTTTTTAATAGAACTGGTTTGCCTTTCTGGTCTATATGGGGGTGGTCTTATTATAGATATGTTGAATTGATATTCTGAATCACAATAATAGCTCCTTATTTGCTTATTTTAAAGGGCCTCTATATGTGCTCGTGGAATATGCTTCCAAAGGGAATTTGCGAGAATACTTGCGAGCCCGACGTCCACCAGGAATGGAATATTCATTTGATATTAACAGGGTCCCCGAGGAGCAGATGACGTTCAAAGACTTAGTCTCATGTACATACCAGTTGGCAAGAGGAATGGAATATTTAGCATCACAAAAGGTAAGCCAGTGCTGGGTTTTTTTTAAAAAAAAGGTTTTTCATTGCAATTTGGTATTGTCATGTAAAGATGTTGTTTTCCAACCTGAAAGAGAACTCTCTTACATTTAAAGAATAAGATCCGGCATATGATACAAAAGAGCACTTTCTTATACAAAACTTATGGACATATATGTAACAAAAGAACTGATTATATTTATGTGGTTGCTATAGGTCTATGACATCATAGTCATGATATATAATCACAATAAATCTCCAAAATGAGAATGAAAGACTGATCAGGCTGGTACTTCATACATTAAGATCTCTGTGTATTTGTTCATTATATTACTTTTGGACATTTAGCAACACAGTGCTATTTCAAAAACATGCCCATTTTCCTGGTAGGCAGGAATATCCATATCCCACCCCCAAAAAATAGCAATATTTTAGAAGTTGTTTGTCATTGCCTGCTTTTTAGGGCTGAGAGAGAGTATATATTTGCTGACTCAATTTGCTAAAAATCTGTAAACTGCTTAGAGAGGTCTGAAAGCCATATGAAGCGGTATATAAAGCAAATAAATAAATAAATAAATAGATAGATAGATAGATAGATAGATAGATAGATAGATAGATAGA